TGAGGCCCTAGGCGGTGTGCTGCTGTCTCCACATTTCCCAAAAACAAAAAAAAAAAAAAAAAAAAAAAAAAAAGTAATTTTCTTAGATTACCAGTACATTTTTATTGCTCTTACTACATATTATTATTGTCTTTCCAGAAGAGAGTACTGATTGACAATATCACTAGAAATGTATGCTGGGACAATTATGCAAAATTTTTGGATATTATTTTTTTAATCATTTTACTAAATTAATTTCAATAATCTCATATCTTTAATTAGCACCAGTGATTGGATTTTTCTTCATGTATATTTACTGGTTATATATCTTTCATGAATCATCTGCCTTTTACATACAAATCTATTAAGGTCTTGGGGAGTTAACAAACTTCTACCCATGTATTTCATATTGAAAAATAAAATATACATGCAAGCAAAGAGGAAATGAAAATTGCTCATATTGCTACCACATAGAAGTATCCACTTTTGGTATTTTAAGTTCTGTATATCCTTCTAACTTTTATGTGCATGCATATTTTGAGGTACTAGAGATTATATCCAGGGCCTTGGGTATGCTAGGGAAGTGCTCTGGTTCACTGAGCTACACTGAGCTACAAGTGTCCCCCTACCCCACTTTTTTTCTTGAAACAGAAACTTGCTGAATCTCTCAGGCTGACCTTGAACTGGCATTCCTCCTGCCTCAGCCTCCTGAGTAGCTGGGATCACAGGCATGTGCCAGCACACCTGGTGGTTGTTTTGTTTTTCATATTTTTTTAAAGAGCAAATACATAATCACACTGCCACCATTCTTTTTTTTTATTCAATATGCTAATGTATTTATATGAAAATTTACTATTTTTAAATCTAGTAATTCATGCCCTTTTCCCTTTCCTGAAAATTTGGGAAAAATATAGAAAAACATAAAAGAAGAATATTATCCATTATTCTACCACTTAGAGATAATGACTGTCATCAATACATTGCAGTTATTTTCCATTTTAATGCATCTATATTTTTCCTCAAAGCTCCACTTAGAGATAATGACTGTCATCAATACATTGCAGTTATTTTCCATTTTAATGCATCTATATATAGTATACACACTACACACATGTAGCTATGATATTTACTGAATATTCATTATATTAGTTTCTCAGAACTGCCATGGTATATTTTTGTTTTCAGTTTTCACTATTTTTAGTGTTTTCAATTATGTCAGTTATGTCTTTTTACAAAAATTTTTGTTCTGATTGTTGATTATTTCCTCATTTCTTACAGTTTCACAAACAGAAGACACAGTTGTTTGAGGGGTCTCAATATCTTTTGCCAAATTGCTTTCCATAAAATTAATTACAGTTTGTTTTTTCACCACTGTTTTACGCATCTCATCTGTCCTTACCAACATTGACTATTATTTTAAGTAATTATTATTTTGATAGTTGAAAAAATGACATCTCATTATTTTGATACATTTCCTAAATGTGAATTCGTTAAAGAGAATTATGGGATCCCATAAGTACATTTTAACAAAAGGGAGTCGGTGTTTCCTCGTGGGTGGTTGTAATGGTTGTAATATGTTCATGTGTGAATAAGAACAAACACTGGAGCCCTGTGCCTAAAACAGAACTTTTTTTTAATAGGTCTTGGTATCTTGATGGACAAACGCTGTTAATAATCATTTGTGTTGGCATTGTGTTCCCTCTTGCACTTCTTCCCAGAATAGGTAAGTCTTTGTAGAAAGGCACATAACTTATTTAGAAAAAAGAGAGAGAAATGCTAAGAGGCTTTTAAAATTTCATAGGACCACATTTGTAGCAGAAGGGTTGTGAATAAGTTGAAACATGGCCTTATTTTAGATTGTTCAGCCTTCAGCCCTGCTTAGTTAACCTATTACTTGGTTTGCAGTAGTGTTTTGTCTGCCCCACTAAAATAAAATCTTTACAGCATAACATTAAAGAGCAGCCGTTCCTTACAGTGTACTATTAGAGGTAAGCCAGTTCCAATTCGGCCGTACAGAGCTACATAAATGATCTGTGACAGATAGTTGGAATGTTGTTATTCTGAGCCCTAAGCCCCAGTTACCAAGCACTGTAATAGAAAACATGCCCAAGATGTATAGCTTTAGTTGTATGTTAGGATCACTTTCCTTATAAATTGCTTTTTATTTTACTGTTATTTTACAGGCTTTCTTGGCTACACAAGTAGTTTATCATCTTTCTTTATGGTGTTCTTTGCTCTTGTGGTAAGTTTAAAAAATAATGCATTGCTTATCTCCTCCCTAAAATTGGGCTTGTGTTAATGACCTTTTCCTTTTAACTGTTTTATATTAGGAAAGGCAGCCCATTTTATTTCAGTGTGTAATTCAAAAGCATTTTTATTCATAAAAAATTAATAATTTTGTTCCTGAGTTGTGTCTAGTTCTGAAGAGGCTTAGCTAGAGCAACATTTCTAATTCAGCATCTCTTTTGGATAACCAGAGAGCAGGGCACACCGGTTTTGTTAAAACCCTGGGGTAGAAATCTTTGCACAGGATTGCCAGTTTATTTCTGAACAATATTCAAAAGAGTCATTTGGGCGGTGGTCTGTATAGTCATTTTGATACTAGTCATCTTTGGAAACTTTGTTCTATTAAGGAAACCTTAGTTTTTGAGACTTGACCAGATCTAGTAAGAATTGGGGAACCTGAATTTTCTCCTTTCTGCTCTAGCTATGCATCATAAAAGCAGCACTGGGAGCAATTATTTTTGTTCACATGTGGGATATATTTTTTCTTAAATTAGCTCATTTTTATGACAACAAAATATCAGATGGTAAATTTAACTTATTTTGATATTTGTAAAATAATATAAAGATAAAAGAGAACTTGAGTTTTTGCTTTCCTTTTAGTTCTTTTTTTGGTACCAGGGATCGAACTCAGGACCTTGCACTTGCAAGGCAGGCTCAGTGCCACTGAGCTAAATCCCTGCCCCTTCTAAAGCAGATCTTAACATCCTAAAAGATAGCATTTTTGTTTGAATATATTTTCAAAAACCTATTTTTTTCTTTGCATAGCAGTTTATTACATAGCCAGTGACTAAATGTGAAAAGAAATAGGATTAAACATTTTAAATCTGCTAATAATATACATACCCAAATAGCCTTTTGATAGGCTTGCTTAAACTCCCCCTCATTATTTTGAAATGCATGAAAGAAAAATGCCATGTAAGAGAACAAGATACCATGTCACTAGTTAAGCCACATTAGCTAAATGTCAGTGCTCTCAGTGCATTGCATTTTGCTTAGGTTTTATCATCTTCTGAGACACAGGAACAAAACAACTTTTAAAGTGTTTATATTGTATCATTTGCTGAAATTACCAACCTTAAAATCATTCCTCTCCCTATTGTCTTCTATCTTACAAATAATAAGTTGAGTATAAACATTTAGACTCTGTGTTTAAGAGAGAAACAGGACACATTTTCGTAAGTTGATCGTGGAGAAGCTTCTACATGGCTAGAAGTATCCTATAGATGCAAATGAATATATGGATATTAGAATCAGTGTAGGTTACATGCCAGATTCTCCCCTCACAGATAATTGGCAGCCCAAGCATTGCATAGGTAAGAGTAATTTAGTTTTCCTAGTCCATAGCATAAAGCAGGTGAAATATGTTGATATAAGATGTCTACTCTAGTTTTCACTTCTGTCATGGCAGATATTCTTTAATTCAGTACAGATATCAACTGTAGCAGTCATGGAAATAATACCCTTATTCTGCAGTTATTGTAATGCTTTACAAACCATCTTCTCAGATTTTTACCTGTGAGGAGTTTAAATTTAGTCTATGGCAGGACACAGAAAAGTACTCTGGACTTTTATTGATGCTTTTTTTGTTGACATAGTCATTATAGATTCTCTAAGTGATAGGTTTTGAAATACATACTGGTTCGGAAAACGAAACATGCATCTATCTATGTTAACACAGATTAATTTGAAGTAGGCCGATTTTGTCATTGATTATTTTTGTCAATACGTGTTTATAAATTGGTACATTATTTGTATTTTTAAGAGTCAATCTAGAAAACTATTATTTTCTTTATTCATACACTACAAATAAAAACCTGTGCTCTATTTGTTCTCCCAGATTCTTTTTATTGGAACAATTAACAAAAAGTTTCCTTCCCTAAAATATCTAAAGTTTCATAAATAGATGGATTTACTTTGAGGGGAGTAAATTTACCTTCTTTGCTCCATTTTAGAAACAAATGGTTTGCCATTCCTTCCAGAAGTTTTGTCTTGGATCAGTATTTTAAAGAATTTAACAGGTCAATGATCAAAATAGAGAACTATTTAAATTGGTTTTAGTCAGAAGCTTTTCTTCTCGCTGAGAATTATATTAGCCATGATAGGGTATGGAAGTCCCACCTGCACTCTTGAGAGCTGGCATCATCTGCAGCCACCCCTGATGGACTGGAATTAGCTGTAGTAACTGAATTTACATGAATTTAACACTTGGCTACTTACATTTTTTTCTAATTGATGGAACAAGAATGAATATGTTTTGGAGCATTGTTTGGAAATATTTTTATTTTAAAGTTTAGAAATAAGAGCTGGGAAAATAAATGAGTAGCTCACATATACAACTTATCAAGGTACTTGGTTTAAAAAGTAGGTACCTGGTACACAGCAAGTGCTCCATGAATGGCTGTTGCTGTGTACTGCACCTCTTTATGGCGGGAATGTGAGAAGCTGGATTTGGAACAATGTCAGCAGGGCCCAAAAGTGAGACCAGTAATGACCTTGCACCTCCAGCTTAGCTTTAATCCATCTCCATCTTTTTCTTTTGTGTTTTGTTAAAAAATTTTTCTTTCAGAAAAAACACTATGAGATTACTGCTGATGATTTTGTTTTTGGTAAAGTAATCATTGGAGGTTTTTTTTAAGCAGTATATAATGATTACATTTATTATCAAGAATTAATATGGGTACATAACACATCTTAATTCTTTTTTCATCCCCTGCCCCTTCCATCCCTCCCTCCTTCTTCTAATTCTTGGTCTCCTCATTTGCAAAAGCCCTATTTCCATTTTTTTCTCCAATGCTTTTTTTTAATCCCTCCATTTTCCCCTTCCCATTTGAAAAGGATCTCCCTACTTTCTATTTTCTTTTTGTTTGTTTGTTTGTTTTTTGTTTTTGGTACCACGGATCGAACTGGAAACCTTGTACTTGCAAGGCAGGTGCAGTGCCACTAAGCTAAATCCCCTGCCCCTTCCTATTTTCTTTTATTTTGCTTTTTATTAATACTTTGAGTTTCTCATATAAGAGAAGTCATGTGATATTTCAACTTCCGAGTCTGATTTATTTTTCATTATTATCTCAAGGTGCATCTGTTTACCTTCAAATGCCTCAAATTTGTCTTTCTTTGTGGCAGAGTGGTTTATTTATATGAACACTTAGCAGAAATGTCATAGCGGCATGCACAATGTTTTCTTACAACTTTTTTTTCTTGATGAGATTTTGATTTGAGTGGATCTTTAGTTCACTCATTAACATAGTCCCCAAAGTAAATATTTTGTTTAGATTTGTTTTATTACTGTATAAAACTTTGATTGAATTTCTTAAAATCCAAAACTAGGTAAATCCCAAATAGGAATAGTGTTTACTGATTGGTCTTCCACAAAGGACAAATACTTCTTTTATTCCCCTATGCCTTTTTGTATGCTGTGATTCACCCGGAGTAAATATTTAGAGAGTAATTATGTGCCTAAAAAACCAGCAACAATGGTAATAACACACTACAGCTATAGGTCTAAGAACAGGATGGCCTCAAGAAACTTTTTCATTGATTATTCTGGGAAGTAGCATCCCTCTGGATTTCTTTTCATTTTTAAAATTTTATTTTTACCAGATGAAATTCCTGAGCTATGTGCTCTTACTCTAGCCAGTTTTCTCCACATTCACCAAAAATAACAGAAACCTGAAAAAGTAAGGAGGGGGAAGTACTCATCAGAAAACCCTAAGGCCCCCTTTTACCTAGTCTGTACTTATTACTACCTGAATCCTTTCCCAAAACTGCTCTTAATATTTCTCTATCTGCTCCTGATACAAATAATCATTTTATACCATTGTCACTAAAAACATCTCTTTTGAGTTGCAGTTTTTAAAAAAATACCTTGATGCTGTTAGAGTTGTGAAAGTTGACAGGAAAGTATGCTCAGTCTTCAAGCGGAAAATCCCAACTAAAGGGATGTGAAACACCCACATTCCCCCCTCCCACCTCAGCCCGCGACCCCATTCTAACCAGGAATATTGTATTAGCCAAAAATCTTCTACTAACCTCTTATTTAGAGTGCTTTAGATTTATTAAAACAATGCTGACCTATTTGAAATCATTTTCTTATGAATTTTATTAGAAATAATCTGACTGCTGATTGTATTTATTTTTACAGGTAATAATTAAAAAATGGTCCATCCCTTGTCCTCTGACATTAAATTATGTAGAGGAATTCTTTCAGGTAATAGTCTGTATTTTTTACTTTTAATCTAAAAAGGAAAAAAAAGACAAATGAATATTTTTTCCTAATTGATGAAAAAGCAAAAGTAATAGCTTTATTGCATTTTGGAATTTTGTTTGAAAATAATATAATCTGATTTGAAAGCCTGGTAATAATTAATTCACCATTTTTGTTGCTGTATTCTGAATTTTAATAGCTATTGGTTTCTCTTTTTCCCCCTCAATACTCTTAAACAGATTTCAAATACTACAGATGATTGTAAACCAAAGCTCTTTCATTTCTCCAAAGAGGTGTGTAAGTTATTAACAGATACTTTTGGTTGATTTTTCACATTTCAAGTTTTAAGAGATTTGTATAACAGGGTCTCTTAGGCCTTTGTACCTGTAACTAATTAATTTTCATGAAAGTGCTAAGTATAGGATTGCCTACCAGAAGAATAATATTATTTAACACGGTGGCCCA